TTGCCCTGAATGGCTGTCCTTGATGTGTTAGAGACTGGTCATCTCTTCTCTGCTTTCATACCAACTAGCTATTTACTAGTTTTTAGCCATTTTCATTACAACAAAACATGTTGAAAAGCAATGACAAAATTTTTGTAGAACAGTTAGAAATACAGAAAATATAGAGAAGTCTTATCACCTGGAGATAAGTATATTCCTTCTCTAAGTATTGTTTATATAAATAAGCTCTGTTTTTTCTGAGAGCCCTTGAAAAAAATTTCTCTCTCTTAATACTGGGAGAAATTAAGCCTAGATTTCATCTACACCCCGTGATCTCTAATCATAGTTCAGCAAAATCCCATTTTTCCCTAAAAGCTACCTTTCTTCCATCCCTGATTTTGGGAGGATAAGAGTCTCAAGGAAGATTAAAATTGAAAAATTGAAGTGGTTGAGTGAGGTAAGGGACTCTATAAATTCAAGTATTGAGAATTAGCTTTAAAGATGATTGAAAAGAAATAGAGGTGGAAAGGATAGGAAATTCTGCTTTGTTACTTATTTAGAACCCAATTTAGGGCCAGGGATTTAGCTCAGTGGTTCTGCTGCCTGCCTCGAAAATGGAAGGTCCCGAGTTTGATCCCCAGTACCAAAAAGAAAAAAAGAATAGAATTCCTGTACACACATGAGTTTTCGTTTGTTTGTTTTGCTTTACTCTCTTGAGAAATATTGGAGGAAACCCATCCTCCTTTTTGTATCTCAGATTACCACTTGTAAAACATAAGTCATAAATTTAATCTTAAATACTTTTGAGTTCTTGGAATTCTTTTTTTTGGGTACCAGGGATTGAATGCGGGACCTTCCACTTGCGAGGCAGGGGGCGGCACCACTGAGCTAAATCTCCAGCCCTGTTCTTGGAATTCTTAATGTTTAAGTGGTCTGGAGGTGAAAATGTATTGAAGTAATGCTCAGTGCTTCAAGTGGGGTCGGATTAAAACTGTCCCTTCTCTGTTATGTTCGTATACAGATCTGTCAGATGAAACCCACTGATCTGTGTAACCAGCTCTGTTCCATCTCAGAGCTGCATTTTTTCCTCAGAACCACAATCAGCATGATTCTGATTCCCAATCACCATAACTGATTTCTCTCTGCCAATTTTTTTCTAAAACCAGATGGTTTTGCTTATTCATTATTTTAGTACTTGAAAGAAAATAATTCAGAGTATTGATAATATTATGGATCAGAAGACTTTCTAAAATTATTTTTAAGGCCCTTATTTAACCCAGGGGTTTAAATAAAAAGCTGCCAAAGATGGGAAATTTTATGCATCTAAAAACAAAGAAAACCTCTTGGAATTGTACTTGAATTTTACCTTTGACAGAATATAAGGTCTGTGTTAAGAATGTAAAACCCACTCCTTTTGGTTTTAAAGAAATGTTACTTCCAGGCTTTCTCCCTTTATCGAGTCCTGAAAATTCTAATTTTTACAGTTTTTTCTAGGTGATTATCTTATAGTACAGCAACATTTAGAATGAATCTGTGGAATTTATTTGAAGAATCAGTATGTTAGCTGTGTAACTATTGTTACTTTCTTTTTTTTTTTTGCTACCGGAAATCGAACTCGGGACCTTGTGCTTGCGAGGCAGGTGGTGGAACCACTGCGTTAATGGCCCAGCAGCTGTGTAACTATTAAATGCTTGATATAGTCAATTTATAAAGAGAAAAGATTTACTTTGATTCACTGATTTTGAGGTTCCAATCCACAATCAGGCAGACCTATTGTTTTTAGGCATCTTGTGGAAGAGTAGCACATTATAGCAGGATTGGGTGCCACAGCAAAATTACTACCTTCAGGCAGCCTTCTGGGTCCTGTGATCCCCTTGATCCCTTTCCATGGCCTGCCCCCTTCTGTGGCACACCCTAAGTGACCTAACACCTCCACTAGGCCCTTCCTCTCAGAGGTCCCTCCACCTCCCAATAGAGGAAAGCTGGACCTTTGCCAGGGGACATTTCAGTTCTAGGCTTTTGAAGTCAGCAAATGAAAAGTAACCAAAACTGTGGGTGGAGAGTATGTACCAAACCTCTTTTTGCACTGGCTGACGATCTTCCTTTTCCAGCCAGGGCTCTGCTCCTGGAGCCAGAGCACCTCAAGCCGTATAAGTCATATGAATACAGTTGATAGTACAACTGACTTGAATTTTTTTTTATTATTATTTTTTTTTTAATTTTTTTTTTTTTTTTTTTTTTTTTTTCTGTACCAGGGATCGAACTCGGGTCCTTGCGCTTGCGAGGCAGACGACAGAACCACTGGGCTAAATCCCCGGCCCCAACTGACTTGAATTTGATGTGGCGAGATTAGAGTTGGTGAAGCTCATTTTTATTAAAAATAGGTTCAATTACTAGTATAACTATCAAAGGTGACTGGTACTAAATTATATTAAACGTATACTGAATTGGTAATACATTATTCTTTTTTTTTTTTTTTTTGGTACTGGGGATCGAACTTGGGTCCTTGCGCTTGCGCAGCAGGCAGCGAAACCACTGAGCTAAATCCCCGGCCCGGTAATGCATTATTCTTATTGGTGTGGTACAAACAAACTAGTCTTTGGCTTTGATTTCTGAAGTTGCATGTTTTCTGTCTTCAAGAGGGAGGCATGTTCACAACAACAATAACAACCTTGTAAAAGTGAGAGTTCACCTTCATGAAATTTGCTGTTATATTGATTATCCATTGAATATAAAGGTTAATAAGTTTTGTTAATATTATTAAGGTGCCAAGTGTCTTACCTTTTGGCATACTGGCTTTCAGTTGGAAAGAGACTGAGGTTTGATCAATAGGTTCTAATTGAAGGCTGTCCTTACAAACTGAGTATACTTGACATAACCCTGTGTACTGTGTTTGGGGATGTTCTGTGACACTAGTTTTCTCTTGCATTACATTTGTGGTGCTAAAAATTATAATTTGTAATTTTAATTAGAAATCTCTCCAAGATGTAAGAGATAACATGTGGCGAGTTTTAGAAATCACAAAATACCTTATTAAATCCTCTCTTATAAATCCTAGAAATGTGGGATGAAAAGGTGTGGTGTCTGCCCTCAGTGAGCTTACAGGCCACTTAGAGGGTCATATAATATATGATAAGCACCGAACAGAAGTGTGACCAGGTACCTTGAGCACACAGGAAGGACTACCTAAATTGATGTAGAAGAGGCAGGTCAGGCTTCACGAAACTGCTTACACTGAGTCTTGAAGCAACAGGTGTTTGATAGACAGCAGAAGAACAAACACATAATTCGGGTAGAGGGAACCTCGTTTTCAAAGTCACAGTCCTCAAAGCAGTTCATTTTTCCTGAAGCGTAAAGCACCAGGCAAAGAATACCCAAAGAAGATGGTAGGTAAGTAGGGAATAGGTCTTGTGTAACATGCTAAGCACTTTGAATTGAATCCAAGGAATGACAGAGAATTCTGAGAGAACGTTGAATAGTGGAGTACAATAGATTTATATTTTGAGATAATTACTTTGTATTATTTGGAATAATGGCAGCATCACAAAGACCAAATTGTAAGGTAAGGAAGCACCTGTAAAGGTACTAGCTGGCCATGGTGGTGCACACCTGTAATCCCAGCACTTGGGAGGCTGAGGCACAAGGATCACCTGGAGTTCAAGGCTAGTTTAGGCTACACAGTGAATTCAAGGCCAGCATAGTGAGACCCTGTCTCAAAAAAAAAAAAAGAAGTTATTCCAATAGTCCAAGGAAAAAATGATGAAGATGTGAACCAAGGCAGCAACAGCAGGGAGAAAGTGGGTTAAAGAAGGGAAATAGCCAGTGTTGCCATTGGGTTGAAGGAATATGTCATTGTCATCTGGGATGTGAGTATCATCTTCCAATGGCTGAATTGTAGATTTTGCTGGTTAGGTGGTAATCTTTTTTTTTTTTTTTTTTTTTTTCTGATACCAGGGGTCAAACTCAGGACCTTGCACTTGCTAGGCAGGCAAGGTGCCACTGAACTATATCCCCAGCCCAGGTAGTGATCTTTTGCAGAGAATATTACCTGTATAGTGTTAACTTGTTTTTTCCTGGGCATCTGTGAATAGATAATCTTAATCTTTATAATCTTTTAAAAAATTCTGTGGAATGGGACACAAGACCTTGGATTTGATCTCCAGCATCAACCTTCTCAAAAGAAATCAGCCTGGTGTGGTGATGCATGCCTATAATCCCAGCACTCTGGGAGGCTGAGGTAGGAGGATCACAAATTCAAGCCCAGCTTGAGCATTTTAGCTATTTATCAAGACTGTCTCAAAAAAAAAAATAAAATCTGTGGACCAAAAAAATAAATACAAGGGCTGGGGATTTAGCTCAGTGGTGCCACACCTGCCTCACAAGCGTAAGGTCCTGAGTTTGATGCCTGGTATCAAAAAGAAAAGAATAGTTTGGGCTGGGGATTTAGCTCAGTGGTTCTGCCACCTGCCCTGCAAGCACAAGGTTGTGAGTTCGATCCCCGGTACCTCCCACCCCCGGCCAAAAAAAGAAAAAAATTGGACACACATGTTTAAGTATTTCATTGTTTCTCTGGTGTGAGAAACTGAAAGAGTAAATAAGGACCAAAAAGTATGATCAATATTGGGAAACAAGAAGAAAATGTTCATATTGGAAGGGGAATGAGGGAGGGTTGTGGGAGAAAGGAAGAGAAAAGAAAAAAAAAAGAGAATAGAAAGGAAAAATGGAGGCCCGGGGATTTAGCTCAGTGGTGCCTGCGCCTGCCTTGCAAGCACAAGGTTGTGAGTTTGAGCCCCGGTACCAAAAAAAGAAGGAAAAAATGGAAACAAAGCTTTTGTAAATGAGGGAAAGGGGTTGAAGGGAGGGGAGAGGAACAAGGGAAAAAGAATCAAGATATATCATGTCCAGGTACAAATCCCCTATGATGAATGTGATCACTATGTATATCTAAAGTGTACCAATAAAATTAATTTTAAAAAATAATTTCCTATCTTCTATACAAAGTTTATTTGTTTTCTAAACAGATTCTTGGAGCCCAAAGCCGGAATGCAGGTGGACGAAGGATCTCTGAAAACAGTTATTCTCTGGACGACTTGGAAATAGGCTCAGGTAAGCAGAGTTTCACAAGTATGAATTCCTCTAGGAAGCTCTCACTGGTAGCAATGCCTTTGGACTCAAAGCCAGTGCTTTTTTTTTTTTTTTTTGGTACCGGGGATTGAACTTGGGACCTTGGGCTTGTGAGGCAGGCAGCGGTCAGAGCTTTTAAAGGAAGAGTGACAGTAATTAGAAGGAAGTCTGTCTGTTAGATACAAGCCATTCCCAAATCTCATTGCTCTCCATAAATAGCTCTTCTTGTATTTTTCAAGTTACTTTTTTTTTTTTTTTGGTACTGGGGATCGAACTCGGGTCCTTGTGCTTTCGAGGCAGGCAGCAGAACCACTGAGCTAAATCCCCAGCCCTCTTCTTGTATTTTTAATCCATCTTTGTCAGTGGTAGCCAAAGAATACCTTTGGGAATTACGGGTGAAGTCTACAGATGCTTTTGGCTCCACAGTCATCTGAAGCTTGAGGGCTTTAAGAGCTGGGCTGTATGCTTTATCAAGATTGGTAGGGCCGGGGATTTAGCTCAGTGGTTCCATCACCTGCCCCACAAGTGCAAGGACCCGAGTTCGATCCCCGGTACCAAAAAAAAAAAAAAAAAAAAAAGATTGATTATCCTGGGTCTAGAGCTGGGGCTCAGTGGTAGAAAGCAATTGTGCAGGACTCTGAATTTGATCCCCAGCACCAAAAACTAAAAAGAATTCATGATATTATATTACCAGTGGTAATAGCTTAAGAGTGAAATTTTTATTTCTTGGGAAGGGGGAATATATAGGTACCTTATGGAAGAAAAAATTAATAAGCACAAGAGAGTCATCAGCCTCCTAGTAATCAAAAATGCACATTAAGGGCTGGGGATTTAGCTCAGTGGTTCCGCCACCTGCCCTGAAAGCTCAAGGTCCCGAGTTTGATCCCCAGTACCAAAAAAAAAAATACACATTAAAAATAAGGACCAAGAGGGCCAGTGATTTCACTGTCTGCTGTGCAAGCGCAAGGACCCCAGTTCGATCCCCGGTACCAAAAAAAAATAAGAACCAAGATAGATTATATAAAGGTATAAATTTCCAATGATGAATGTCATTATATTATATACCTAAAATGTACCAATAAAATTAATTTTAAAAATCAAAATTAAAGAACTTTGAAACAATATTCTAGACAAAAAAACTTTTAAAAATCCACATAAAAACATTGAGATCTCATTTTTTCAACATGTTAAATTACCACAATTTTCAGTTATTTCAACATATACAGTGCTCAATTATGGTAAATGTTTTCCTTTTAATGTTAGGAAATTGAGTGAATATTACCTTATAAATTACTTATATTTCTGGTTTGTTTTTTTTTTTTTTTGGTACCAGAGATCAAACTCGGGTCCTTGTGCTTATGAGGCAGGCGGTGGAACCACTGAGCTAAATCCCCGGCCCCAATTATTTATATTTCTGATTTTCTTCTTTGTACTTTTTTTTTGGTTCAGGGGATCGAACCCAGGATCTTGCGCTTTTGAGGCAGGTGGCAGAACCACTGAGCTAAATCCCCAGCCCTTCTTTGTACTTTTATTTTTGTTGTTGTTGTTGTTGTTGTTTGTTTTTTTGGTTTTTTGGTACCGGGGATCGAACTTGGGTCCTTGTGCTTGCGGAAGCAGGCATTGGAACCACTGAGCTAAATCCCCAGCCCCTGTACTTTTAATAATAGAAATTGGCCATTAGGTTACAAAAATCCAAAACTTGGAACCTCAAAACCATTGGAATCACATTCTTCCTTCTTTCTAACAAAGCATATTATTTGCATTGTTCCAGGTCACTTGCCATCCTCTGCATTCAACTTGGAGAAAAATGAGAGTAGACGAAATCTGGAACTCCCACGCCTCTCAGAAACCTCCATAAAGGATCGAATGGCCAAATACCAGGCAGCTGTGTCCAGACAAAGTACTTCAACCAGCTATACAGTATGTGTTCTGCATCATTCCTTCATTCACTCCTCCAGCCAGTGAGCAGTGAGGCTGGTCCCCTAGCCAGACTCTCTCCACGTAAATCCCGCCCTCCATTTGTAACCCTAATTCCGATTTTGTTCTCCTAGTTCATTTGCATTCATACCCTACTCGTTTTCCTGTATGTTACTGGCTCTTCTACTTAATCTTTTAATTGTTATTGTTGAAGAAGCAGTATCTTATTAGTTTCAGTAGAAACACTTTCTTTGTTTTAATCGTGGGGATTGAATCCAGGCCTTTGCAAATGCTAGGCAAGCACCGTGTCACTGAGCTACACCCCCAGCCCTGAAGTTATCTTTTAAATGATATTTATTCATATGTACACACACATATACACATGTATGGACACATTTTTTAATTTTCTTTTTTAAAACGCACATATATTTTTCTTTCAAACATTTTCCCAAGATTTCAAAGTATAAACCATTAATCTTTTGATGTCAGAATTTTTTTTAATAAAGTTGGAAGACTAATATTGAATTTTATTTGTTCATTGCCAGATTAACACTGGTGCATTTAGAAATCATAATGTGTATTTTAGAAGCTAAGCCTTCTTTACTCCACAAAATTAAATATACATGCTCTATTAGGATTGGTGGACTAATTCTCTGGACAATGAATGATTTCACCTTGACTTTTCACAGTAGTTTTAAGAAGAGATGACTGACTGTGTAAAGCAATAGGAAAACAGAATGTCTCAAGTTCATTATTTACAGTAAATGGAAAAGAAACAAATTTAGGCTTCCTTTAGAAGGCAGCTCTAGAGATACAGCAAAGAGATGATCTGCAAAGCTTCCTGTGCCCTCTTGCTGCAAACATGCTCTCAGGTGACTCCCTAAGTGGGAAAACCTGTTCAGTGACTTTTTTTTAAAAAACTGCTAATTCTGTACCTCAGCTTTTCTGCCCTGGAGATTTTTAAGAGTGGAAATGTCTTTAGGAATTCTTGTAAAAAGTACATTTTATCTCATCCCAAAAGAATTTCACAGGCCCCTTACTGAATGTGGTTGTATCAAAGCACATCCTGCCAGGGATTTAGCTCAGTGGTTCTGCCGCCTGCCACGCAAGGACCCAAGTTCGATCCCCGGTACCACAAAAAAAAAAAAAAGAAAAAAAAGTACATCCTCCAGGCAGTGTCTTTGGAGGCAGGGCTTTGCAATGGGTCAGCAGTGAGTTATGGGCTGCCACTGTAATCTTCTGTAGTGCAGGCTGCCAAAACTCTCCTGAGTGCACTTTCAGGGCCTTAATCTGGATTACTGGATCTAAAGAAAACAGTCACACTTCTTTTTCCTTCATTGACCTTGTCACTGCATTGCTCATTTCCTCCCATGCCTAGAGAATCACAGAGAGCAGAAAGGTACAAGATTACTAAATTACTAGCAGACTAAAGGTAGGAAATGTCCAATGTAGATCCAGCAGGTAAATTAACTTTACTGTTCTCCCCTGTGTGTCCTTTGCTGTGGAAAAAAAAAGTGATTATGCTTATTCTTTAAAATGATACTAATGCATGCTTTTTCTTCTAAATGTTGAGGCTATTAAAAGAAGTAGAATAAGGCATGTCATTCATACAATGTTTGAATTTTATGTGAAAATCATAGAGTCCCACAGAAAAAGGTGGTTTTATGGTATCATTAAATAATTTCAGTTTTCATATGTATACATCATCCTTGTCTCTTTTTCCAGGCCGGGCATTTGTATATATGGTCAGTATATTTTCTTAATTATTGGCACTTGGCAACTCCTTTCCCCTGCTCCAGAATGGTCTTTTCTGATAAAACTCACAAGCTTTGCATTTCCACAAGCTCTACCACTAGAAGAGTGAATCACAAGAACATTATGTGCTGGGGGTTGTCTGTGTGTGTGTCTGTGTTAATGTGTCTGTATTCTAATGGGTGTCCACTTTGAGACTAGCACACAAATATTTAACTCTGAGGTATGTGTCCACACAGCTGCTTTTGTCATTTCACTAGTCAATGGGTTTTGCTTGTGAGACTTAAGGGGTTGATTTGACCTGAGGCCTCTGAAAAGAATTATTTTTTTTAACATTCCAAGTTTATTTGAAAGATGTGCTATGAGAAGAATGGAATGCTGAGAATTTTTTAAAAGATTTACAGGCTGTTTTTATTTTACAGAATGAGTTGAAAGTCAGTGGTGGTGAAATCAGAACTCATAAATTGGAACAAAAGGAGAACGTGCCCCCGGGTCCTGAGGTCTGTGGCTCCCATCAGGAGTCAGAAAAGGTGGGTTAAAAAGTCTGGTGTCCATTTGCCAAGGACGCATGTGTTCTAAATTAGATGCTTAAAATTAGAAACAACTTTAACTCTAGGCTGTAGAGTGTCTGGGAATTTGGTAACAGCTGCCAGGACAGATTGTCACTTTTGCAGGTCATATTATTTCACTTGGGAAGCTCTGCAACTTATAGCTGACCAGATAATGGGCCTTCATTGGAAAATTGTTTTGCTCAGCAAATGTTCAAAGGCCGTAGAGCTAAAGTGATTTTTATAAATTGGTTTGATTACAGATATTATTTTTAAAGTATTTGTATATGCTGAATTTAAGTACATACTTAATTGTGTGTGTGTGTGTGTGTGTGTGTGTGTGTGTGTGTGTGTGAAGTACTACGGATTGAACCCAGAGTCTTCACATTGAGTTACATCTCCAACCCTTTTTATTTTTTGAGAAGGTCTCACTAAGTCATTGTGTTGCCCAGGCTGGGCTCAAACTTGCATTCCTCCTGCCTCAGCCTCCCGACGTGATAGGATTATAGGTGTGTGCCACTATGCCCAGTGTAACACCATTTTTTTTTTTTTGTATTTTTCTTCTTTTGTTTTGTTTTTGAGATAAAGTCTGGCTGTCTTGCCCAGGATGGTCTGAAATTTGTGCTTTCCAGAGATCCTCCCACCTCAGCCTCCCAAGTAACTGGGACCACAGTCATCTCACCACACCCAGTTTATTTAACACATTTTATAAAAGAAAATTTCATTCATTCACTCAAAGCTTGTTTTTTGTTTTGCACTGCTGGGGTTCAAACCCAGAGCCTTGTACATGATAAACATGTGCTTCACCACTGAGCTATTCATCCAGCCCTCACTTAAAGTATTTTGAAAGCTAGATACTGTGATAAAGTATAGGAAATGCTAAGCTTAAAAAATAAAGACGAAGCTGGGCATGTAGTGCACACCTGTAACCCCAGGACTCTGAAAGGCTGAGACAGAAGAATTGCAAGTTTGAGACTAGCCTGGGGAATGGAAGGAGCCCTGTCTCAAAATTTTAAAAAAAAGGAAGGGAAGGGGATGTAGCTTAGTGCAAAAGCCCTGGGTTCAGCCCCAATACCAAAACAAAACAAAAGACAAGTAAAGTATAGGAGAAGTGAGTAACAGTTTAGTTATAATAAAACAGTGTGATAGGTGCATGAGAGGTGTACAGAGCCATGGAAACTCAGGACACTTAACCTGACTTCCTCAAGACAATGATGTCTGAGCCAAGTCTTGAAGAATGTGCAGAAATAGTCCAGGCGAATAAGGGGAAGATTAAGAAGAAGAAGGGCATGTAGACACAGGTTGGGAAACCAGAAATTGCAGCTTGCTTAGCAATTGCAGTTTGGTTGGTTTTGCTGGAATAAGGTACACAGAAACAGTGGTTGAGGAACAGGTGGAGAGAGGGCCAGGGTGAGGTCTGGAAAAGCACCATATGCCACTCTTAAGGATTTGCACATAATTTGGCCAAGGGGAAAGCCACAGAAAAATTTTAAGCAAATCATATTTATATTTTATGCACTAATCATTAGATGAATGGCTTAGTTGCAATAAGTAACAGTATTTATGCCAGATGAGTTTATCATGTTCTCTCCCAAACCTACCCAATCTTTTTAGTCTATTTGTCAATATGATAACTAGATCTTGAGTGAGATGATTATTACTGTGATTAATCTTAGGAGAAAAAACATTGATATCTTTGATATTATTTTTATAAAAGTTGAAGAGATACTTAAAATGGTTAAGAGTAACAGCTGTCAAACTTACTTTTTTTTTTTCTGAGACAAGTTCTCCCTACATAGTTAAAGCTGGCCTTGAACTCATTCCGTAGCCCAGGCTGGCCTCAGACTCATGGCAATCCTGCATCAGCCTCCCAAGTGCTGGGATTACAGGCAGCTGCCTCAAACTTACTTGACTATCATAGACTTTTTTTTATCATAGACTTTTTAATGCATGGTGTATTGACAGAACATGTCCAGGAACTTGTGAGATAGTTCTGCACACTTGGATCAAAATAGGCACCCATAAAACTGGTCTCAGTTAAGAGCTACAAAATTTGATTCACAACATAGAACAGAAAATTAATTAGAAAAATTAAATTATTTTCTAAAAATATCATAAGCACATATTGAAATAATAAGACAAAATACTTGATAGTCATGAGTTACATGATCATAAAATCATGAAATAACTTGAGTACATTTTTATAGCAGTGGTCTATTCCATTAGTCCAAGTTTGGGAAATAATCATCTGGAACATAATGCTTGGGTTGTTCTCATATCTAATTTCATGCTTCTTTCTTGATTGTCTTCATGCTGATTTGAAACTAGAACTCTAGGCTGAACTGGTAGATTAGAACATTTTAATTATAGCCTAAGAGAGCATTAGTGCAACTGAATCACAAATTGAGTTGTGGGAGGGGAAGAAGGGATAAAGATAGCCGATAATCTTCAAGGGCATGCTGCAGGTTTATAAACCTTTAACTGCCTTAAAATTTACAACATTTTTCAGAGCCTCAGCTATCATTTTGGCTGCTTGCCTAGCTTTTGTTAACCAGTACCTAAGCACTGTTTGAACTTTGGCTTGCTACATGAGGATAATAATGCTAGGGCAGCTGGGCATGGTGGCACACACCTATCATCCCAGCACTCAGGAGGCTGAGGCAGGAGAATTGCTGCAAGTTCAAGGCCAGCGTGAGCTACAGAGTGAGTTCAAGGCCCGCTATGCAGCTCAGGTTGGCCTTGAACTCATTGCAGAACCTAGGCTGGCCTCAAACTCTAGTGATCCTCTTGCCTCAGCCTCCAAGTGCTGGGATTATAGTTAGGTGCCACCATGCCCACTACCTCAAACTTTCTTTTCTTGAAATGGAATATTTTGTTTAGGTATTGTTCTTCCCTTTCCCCTCTTGTGAATAAATGCGTGTTTTCCTTTAATGAAATGTTTGAACAGAATCTCCAGTCTGAAAGTTCTTGCAGTTAAGTCATTTTGTTAGCCATGTGCAGTGATACCAGAACTGGTACTAAGTATAGCCCGTAGGTTCAAGGTGACTAAATTAGAGGTGAGAAAAGAACATCCCAGAATGGATGCTCCTACTAAATTAGCAAAAGCTAAAGAACTTTTTAGAGAAATGTACAACTTTCAGAAAATTTATTTCATATCATTAAATGAAATAATGTACGCCGGGGATTTAGCTCAGCGGTTCTGCTGCCTGCCTCACAAGCACAAGGTCCTGAGTTGAATCCCTGTACCAAAAAAAAAAAAGAACACATACATAATGTATTCAGTTCAGTACCTGGCACATCGTAAACACTCAGTAAATGTCAGCTGCTATTATTCTGGTTTGTTCATGCCAACTCAGAATTCCTGTAATGCAAAGACAGTAGGAAAAAACCACCATGCTGATTGATATTCAGGTGCAGTTAGCCAGCAGTTTAATCTCCATTGTAAATTTATTCAGTACGTTAGACGTCCTGATATAAACACTAAGTTTATATCAGGATAAAATCCAACATCTGAATGATGGAATATTACCCAAAGAGCATACATTGTGTCACTTGTTGACCCTTCATGATTTTTGGAATGTGGAGGGAATACAAGAAGGCCTACAGGCTGGTAGAAAGGAGAGAGAGAACTAGTAGAGAATTCTTTTATTTAAATTTGATGGCTTTTGTGAAAAAGATAGGCGCCTACCATGTCCATAAGATCCACTATCTTCTTAAGCACTGCCATTTTGAGACTGGGATTTTTAGGATACTATTGGAGGTTAGTTTTAGGTAAATTTGTTTTTTAGCTGTTAGAAATTCTTCTGTGTGGGCAAGCTTATTTCAGCAAAGTGCATTTGGTTGGGAAATAGTAATTAGGAAAATTAAAAAAATAATTCTTGTGTCTAAATACTTCATCTTGTCTTGGGTGTGCTTTGCTCTCGACACAGAGGGTTTTGTTTTGCTCTGTTTTTTAAGAGTGGAATGATATGGTTTAGAAGCTCTTTTATAAAGGGAAGTGATGCACACTTTGGCAGTAGAGTGCAGTCTGTTTCTCACATTACTCTATAATTGAGAGGCATGTTAATATCCTCATAAAAGACATTCTGCTGCCTCTTGTTTAAATGCTCAGCTGTTCTGGTGCCCGTTATTTCCCCCAGGCAGCCAGTGACTGACTGGAGTCAGCAGGTTTTTATGGCATTAACAGCAGTCTGCTCTTTTATTTTTAATGTGATTCTTAATCTCCCCCCATCCCCACCTCCTCCCTTTTTTTCTTTTTGCAGATTTCTGCAACTGAGAATAGACTGGCGGTCTGTTCCACCCATGCTGAAGATGACTCCTGTAAGCATTTCCCTTTAGCTTTGTAGGGTGAGGTCTTGTTCTCCATCCATACTTGGTTCAGAGGTGTCAGTGTTAAAGTCACATTCTGTATCCAATGGTTTAGCTGATCAATCTTCCACTTACTTTTAAGGACTGATGCTTCAATAGCCTTCACACACTTCATGGCTTAGAGAGAAGTTAAGTTCAATTAAATATGTTTACCTTAGGACAAATGGAATACTTCTAATGCATCTCTCATGAAACTTGTCCTATCCTTTCTACTAAACTGTTCCATGTTTAAAGGTGTAAAAAGTCCCCCAGCACCTGGAGTTAGCAGCAAATCCTATAGCACATCCTGGAGGCTATGACACTTGCCCTCTATGCCCACACTGCTGCTCCCTGGCCATGTGATGTGTGAGCCCAGGAAGTCCCATGCTGGGACTTTTCCCTCTTCTATTGCCATGCTTTTTCATTAACATCAACACTTCCAAAGAAAAAAAGAGCTCACGGGAGTGCTCCTGTCTTGCATAAAAAGACTACTCACTACAGCCAGGGATTTAGATCAGTGGCACTGTGCTTGCCTTGCAAGCACAAGATCCTAAGTTCGATCCCTGGGACCAAAAAAAAAGACTACTCACTAAAAAAATTTAAAAATAAAGGTATATAAAGTAATTTTGAAGTTTTATTTTAACAGAGGTTTGTCCAAGGATTTTATTAATTTACCGGGATAAAAAAATTGGTATGTGAGCTGGGCATGATGGTGCATGCCTTGTAATTCCAACGCTCTGGGAGTCTGAGGCAGGAGGATTCAAAGTTTGGACCCAGCTTGGGCAATTTAACAAAATCCTGTCTTTGAGGTGGGGAGGGGGGTACTGCTGAATTTTGTGATCATTTCACCCTATTTTGGAATAATTTTGCATCAGATACTTTGTTTTTACTTCACCATGTCCACTTTCCATTCTAATTTTCAGTGTATCATTTGAAAATATATATACAGATTTCTAGCATCTCCCCAAACAATTTACTAGTCACTAAAAATGCCACAACTAAAATAGAAGTATGAGCTACACAGATCTCTCATAAATCCTACCTTAACATTTCAGAGAAAAACACTACTTGAATCCAGGAACATTCCTTTTGTAGTCATTTTATTTGGACAAGAAATATTTATGGTTTTGACTAGATTTGTCAAACTTGGTTTTGAAAAATTAGCCTTAATCTTTTCGTACTTTGTTGACTCAACTCTAGATTTGAAGGAATTTTTTAATGATTTCTTAATAGCTGTGTAAATGACTTTTCTGTGAGTTCCACAGGATGAATACACTGGCGGAAGTTAACTCATGCCTTTGGCACTTCAATGATTATGAAAAAAACTTTACAGAGTTCTTTTCCACAATCTTCATCCATGGATATCTGCTACAAGTCTGACCAAAGGACTATGAGATTATGCACACAGCACACGTGCATGCACATAGTATGAGACTTTTGTCCATATGTGCTGCCATTTCCCCAATTTCAGTTAAAGCAGCCCAGACGTTATTGGGAGTGCCAACTACCAAAAAGGCATTAGAGTCCACAAACATCCTTAAAACGACAAAGGCTACAGAGCAGAAAGTTCTTTATACAGGGTGGTTTGGATTCTCACTGTGTGGCAGGGTGAGTAAGCCTCCTAAATGACAGCAGCCTGATTTGTGAGAGAACTTGAGAGCTAGGCTTTTAGTTTAGAATATTCTTAAATTGAAAACAGTGCTTTAAGAATAGTGTTTTTTGTGGCATTGAAAATACATTCCTTGGTAGGAAGTGCCCAATTTTTTCTTTTTTTTTTCTTTTTTTCGGTACCGGGGATTGAACTTGGGTCCTTGCGCTTGAGAAGCAGGCGGCAGAACCCAATTTTTGCTTTTTGAAAGAACCCTTTCTAAGACTCCCCATGAGATACTATATGAAATGTTCTTTTGTAACTCAAGCAGGTAACTCTCAGGTTAACAGCGAGGTGCAGCAACCTGTGTCCCCCAAGCCGCTGAGTCCAGATGCCAGAGCCTCCACCCTTTCTGAAAGCTCTCCTACCAAAGCAGTGAAGGTATGCTGGTTGCCTGTCTCCTGAGTTTGGGAGATGGGTTATTAGTACTGCCGATTGCCTTTCGTATCTTCATTATGACCTATTTCTCTTTTCCTGGGGATGATAATGCCAAATAAGAGTGGGCTTAAAAATCACTTTCCCAGGCCGGGGCTTTAGCTCAGTGGCACTGCAGCTGCCTGGCAAGCGCAAGGTCCTGAGTTTGATTCCCCCTACCAAAAAAAAAATGCCTCTTCAAAAATCACTAAAGGAAGGAAGGGGCAAGAAAAAGAAGTGAAAATAGAAGGGAAAAATGGAAGCATTTTTGTTGGGAAGGGGACATAAGGGGGGGGATGGGATAAAATAAAATAAAAAATAAATTTTAAAAATCACTTTCCTGAAACTCTTTCTTCTGCTCAGCTGTTTGGACCAGGAAAGGAAAGGGTCACCAGTGTCTCTGTTTGAAATCTAGAAAACCCATGGAAGTTTTACAAATTGAAGTTTAATAAAATAATATGACTTTTAGGGCCAGGGATTTAGCTCAGTGGTTTCGCCGCCGGCTGCGTAAATGCAAGGACCCGAGTTCGATCCCTGGTACCAAAATAATAATAATAATAAAAATATGACTTTTAAAAATCTAAGTTTATAGATCTGTGAATGGGTGAAAAAATGAAAATGAAAATGTGAAAAAACTGTTAAAATAAAATCAGTATATTGGATAGAAATCCGCAGTCACCTTAAGGGCAGTGGCTCCCCAGTGTGAACAGTTTGGCTAAAACCTGACTGGTTGTTAACATTTTTAGAAAAAGAATGTGTCTGCTGGAGTGGGTATTGACCAGCCAATTTTCTGTAAAAATTGGTATTTAAGCAAAATTATGCTAGGATATAATATTAGATATTAAGAAATGAACAAAATTTTGTGTGCTAAGACAGTTTTATTAGGCTACTCAATGACCAGTCTCCTTTTATTCCCCCATTTAAAAAAAAAAGGTCTTTCCCTTTCTATGAGCAAATACATATTCCCATAAAACTGACACCAAAACTTATTTCAGTCTTGTTAACTGACTTGTTTCAATTGCATGCTTTGTTAATGTAATATTACTCTACCTATATGGATTAATAACCAAACATACCCACACCTCTTTAGTATCTTTCTCCTTGATGTGCTCTTTCATAGCTGGATTTTGTTTCGAAAGTTTTAGCTTGATAAAAACTCAACAGATAGAATTAGGTAAAGGTGGTTTGTATTGCCCCAACTTCATACTCCTATCTACCATGCTTCCTTGTATCCCTTCACTGTGTGTATGGTTGATCCTTGGGGTCTGTGTTAGTGCATAAGAGATAAGAAGGGATAAGAACATAAGTGAGGGTTTAGAATAAAAGGAAGAAACCAGAGAATCCAGGATTTAAAGAAGAGATTAAAAGGATAGTTTTGTGTTTATGAGGAAGATAAATACAAAAATCCAAAGGGAAGAAGAAATTTATGAGGAGGGAAAGGTTTGTTGAAAAGAACAAAAGAGCCAGGTGTGGTCGTACACACCTGTAATCCCAGCACTCTGGAAGGCTGAGGCAGGAGGATCAAAAGTTCCAGGCCACAGGGCCGGGGATTTAGCCCAGTGGTTCCGTCACCTCCCTTGAAAGTGCAAGGTTCTGAGTTCGATCCCCGGTAACCCCCCCCCCAAAAAAAGTTCTGGGCTACCCTGGGTAATTTATCGAGACTATCTCCAAAAAAAAAATGGCTGGGAATACAGCTTAGTGCCAAGGCCCTGGAGTCCATCCCCAGTACCATCAAGGGGGTTGGGGTTGGAGGGAGAGCAAACAAACAGGGTTATGATTAAATCTGCACATGGATCCCACCTGACTCTCTCCTGGCCTTGAAGATCTGCTCATGCTGTCATCATCAACACTTTATTTTCCATTTTCAGGAGGCCAACAACATAGCAAATGCCACAAGGTTACTTTCATTTCCAGTAGCAACCCTGCCCAAATGTGAGTCCTTGGATTGTGGTTCTGGATCCAGAATGGCAAATAGAAGGGGTTGGGGGGATAGCTCAGTGGTAGAGCGCTTGCCTACCATACAGGAAGCTCTGAGTTTAAAACCCAGCCCCACCCCACCTCACCTCAGAAAAGAAAAGAAAAGTTAAAGAAAGAATGGTGAGCAAATCTGACTTGGTCATGGTTTTCTGTGTGACCGAGGGACCTGGGGAATTTCTCTGGCTCATCTAAGCACTAAAATCTCTTCTTGAAACTATTTGAATTCTCCACACAGCCATCCCTCCTTCAACTGCCAGGCCAGACATCTACTAGGTTGGACTGATCCTGTACTAAGTTGAGATCCTTCCTGATTCAGGGTCTGAGCTGAAGAGTGCTGTGTGAATAGCCGCATATCATGTGGGTCTTCCTGGGCACACCAGGGAGCACAGACTCTGCAGCTGTATCATTCCCATACCTACTCTTTGGTCCTGGTTACTCAGCAGTAGATTGCAAACAGCCCTGCCTTCAGAGACAGTTTTGAGCATTGGAGTAAACTGGCCTGTGCTTGTCTGAAGTCCAAAGCTCAAAAGGTCATGGTGTAGGGCTGGGGATTTAGCTCAGTGGTTTTGCCGCCTGCTGCGTAAGTGCAAGGACCCAAGTTCTATCCCTGGTACCAAAAAAAAGAGGTCATGGTGTCCAGAGCCTGAGGTGGGACTCTATTACATTTCCACTTTTATTTAAGGGCAATTTTTTTCTCTTCTGCAAAACTCCCGTTTACAGTCTGCAGGCAAGCAATACACTTTAATGTGTACAAGAAGACCTGTTGGTATTACCAGTCTCGTGGCTCTAGACTGCAACAGAAGTTGTTTCTCCACTTAGGGAAATTACATGCAGCTAAAAATACATTTGTTCACTCAGAATAGATTTTTGGATCCCACATATCCTAGAAAAAAGCTGTTCCTTAGTGCCCATCTGTCTGTTATTGGAAATAGGACATCTAAGGTAGAGACTCATAACATTTCAAATTTGCCTTCATAAAGTGGGAAAAAAAACGGTACAGTAAGGATTTTGTTCACTTTGAACACTGGCCATGTGGTTTAGTTGATGAGAGTTGGTGCTAATGAAATTGAAGTTGCAGGTTCATCCTCAAAAAGGGTGTTGTTCTGAGAGCGGAGCTCAGTGGACCTGTGAGAATCATGCTTGTTTTACTTCATAAAACTCAAGTTTTTAACCATCAGCTACACCATAGTAAAGAAAGGGGAAAAAAGAGACTCCAGAATCTCATAAGCTTTGTCTTTCCATCTGAAAGAAGACCTCCACTGAATGTTCCCAGGGGGGAGCACAGGGAGAAAAGGGCAGGGGGATGAAGCTGATTCTGGGGACACCTGCTTGGCCCCAGACTTCTTCAGCTGATCCTGCTGTTGGATATGGAAAGAAAACACAGCAGACTCTGTGAGAGGACATGCACTGCAGTTACCTTCCTGGTACCCTGTCAGCTGTGGTGCTGGGGATTGAACCCAGGGCCCCACACATGTTAGGCAAGTGCATTACCACTGAGCTCCAGCCTCAGCCCTTGTTGTACACTATTTTACAAAGCTAGAGTTATACTAGAAGGGTACCTAGAATCTTTTGTCTTTCTTAGAGCATTAACCTTTCCTCTGTGTTTACAGAGCAGTCTATTTAAGATCTGAATATTACCCAGGCATGGTAATACATGCCTGTAGTCCCAGCATTCTGGGAGGCTGAGGCAAGAGTGTCACAAGTTTGAGTCCAGCCTGGGAACTCAGCAATGTAGCGAGACCTGTCTCAAAATAAAAAAGAGCTGGGATGTACCTCAGTGTGGAGGCACTGGGTTTGATCCCTAGAACAGAAAAAAATAATCTCTCAAATGCTTTCACAAAGCATTTCATGGAAGGGTAAAAGCTGCACAGAGCTGGTCCAACATTTTACTGTATGATGAAAAATTTTAGTTTTATTACCTAGACATTTTGCAGAAATTGGAAGGAGGGAATGAAAGACATTTTGTAGTATTCTGAGGAATAGGGACCTAACATCAGTATAGAATTTTCTTCTGATTTCACTCTACTACCCAAGTGGGGCTTTCATTAGACTAAAAAGAATATGTACTACTATACAAGGGTGAAAAAGTATAGATGAAGCCATGAAAATTTATTGGAAAATTGGTTGGAAAAATAACTTTAAGTAGATGCTTATCAAAGGGAATTCTCTAATATCACTCATGTGGAAAAGACAGTATTTTTGAACATGAATTATTTATATATACCTCATTCATTCTAGAATATCCTGAAGATATTAACTATACATTTTAGTTTAAAACCAAGTGAAGACTGGCTTTATGAAAGTGCTATAGTGAGATTATTTTCATGGGTTAGCATCTGTTCTCTTCCCCAAAAGAATTTCCTTTAGTTATGGAAATTTAACATTCTAGGACAATTTATAAAATGCTTTGTTGGTTTTGAGTCAGGAGTTCCAGGGTTTAATTCTAATTCTGTTCCCGTGTTTGTAACTTTGACAAGCACCTGACATCTTGGTAACCTTAACTTCCACAAATAAAAGATGGCTGGGGAGACGGGATGAAAAAAAGCCTTCCCTTACTAACTGAAAAACTATATTGTATTTTTTTTGGTAAAAAACTATATTGTAAAGATAAAAAATGTCTAACATGCTCATTGGCAGTGTTCAAGATGTGGCTGTGCCAAGTCTGAGCATGCCATATAGGCATGGGCAAGATGTATGCCAGGCCTGTGATAATGGGAATGAGTTTTGGGCATTGATACACTTCCTGTTGTCTGAATAAACATGGGGGCAATTATAGAAAAGTGGCTGAGAGCCCAGGAGAGAGAAATTAAGGGAAAGCAGAGCTACAGCCACTATGACTTGGCATGTTACTATGTTGGGATCCTCTTTGTGACATTATATGGTCCCTTGGGCAGCTGCTGCATAAACCTTAAATAATATCTCCAAGGGATTATGTGAGAAATGAATATGAGTAGTGGAAACCTGGTAGGTCTGGCTGGTTAGGAGCTTGTGACTAGTCAGTTTGAGAGAGTAGTCTATTAATGTGATCTTAAGGAGGAAGATGACTTTTCTCTTATGTGGATGAAACTCCCTTAAAAAGACAGCCATCGTGGGTCAGGTGTGGGAGGTAATAAAACACTGAAGAATTGTTAATGAGACACTCCTTGTGCTGGTGAAGTCTCCTAAAAGATTGCTCTCCTAAGCTGGGATATGTTCCAGCTTCAGGTAGATACTAGTGAGGCTGATTTTGCCATGATTAGCAGAGTTACTTGAAAAACAAAGAAAATATGGCCTTATTCTTGGGTTGGAGTTTCTTTTGGGGGTGGAGGGGGGTTGGAGTTTCTGAGTTTCAGATTGGCTGCAGTCCAGCACTCCAGGGCACACCAAATGCTGTGTATTCATTTAAGGTTCCTATTTGTCTCTTCCAGCTTCTGCTTCCTGCTCCTGGTACCTAATTTCTGCTCCTGCCTTCTACTTTCCTCCTAATGTGAGCTCAACCTTCACTTTCTCTGATGTTCTCTTTTCTGTTCACTGGGCTACACCTTTCTCTTTTTTTTATTTTTATTTTTTCCAGTACTGGGGATCAAACTCAGGACCTTGCACTTGTCAGGCAGGCGTGGCACCACTGAACTACATCCCCAGCCCTGGGCTACACCTTTCTACAGTGTTCCTGACTTGGTGTGTGTGCTTATGGAAGTGCACTCTGTATCCCTCCATTCCCCTCTAACAGAATAATATCCATTTCCTTTGATACTATGTGAAGTTTCTGTCTACTGCTCTGTCTTTACTTATCACATTGAGTGCTTATTCTCCTAAATCTATTTCAGATGTTAAAAATGCAACTGAAAAAAATTAAATCTGACAAATACTTTTGTCCTGTTACTTTTACATTAATGAATTGTGATTTGAACAGGCCCTTCCAGTGGCTTCAGTTGTATTGTAATATATAAATCTTACTCTGCATTTTAAACTATCTCCTCCTTGCAAGGCAAGGATCACCTAGTCCTTTTGGTGAAAACCTAATTAAAACTATGCAAAGACATTTCTTTTTCTTTTCTTTTTTTTTTTTTTTCCAGGCCACAACAAGCCTTTATTAGGGGAACAGATCTGCCGGAATGTCTCTGAACAAAGGAGAGACAAAAAGCCAAGACATTTCTATTTAGGTCCAGTTTTATCAGAATGTCCATGACAGAAAAAAATAATTCTGGGCTCCAAATAATACCTCCATTATTTCTAAAAGCATCCAATACAATAACATTGGATCACATTTAGATACTTCCCTTTTTATGCGTGGTAAACTAGGTTGTTGCCTGTGGTCTTTTGATTGTTCAGATTTTTCTTTTTATAACTGTACTCCTAGGGCCGGGAATTTAGCTCAGTGTTTCCACTGCCTGCCTCACAAGTGCAAGGTCCTGAGTTCGATCCCCAGTACCAAAAAAAAAGGAAAACTGTACTCCTAGAATGAAGTGGATTGCTGTTACCTAGACAGTTCCACTCAGTTTTGTTCATTTATTCTTAAGTCCTTTGGGTACTATTTGGGAGTTTATCATTAATTTTATTAAACTCCCTTTATAGATCTTTCCCTTCACTCCTATTTTATGTTCATTTTCTGTTTCCATGTCCTGTCCAAATCTACCTGGAAAACCATTTCTATGTTTTGTTTTCCCTCCTAGTGAATCATGTGGCAAGTGACCAGCAGTCTGAATTTTGATGGACCTATTTTCAGGCTTTTCAATCAAGTCTGTCGGGCCCATAACCTGGTCCTTTCAGGATTAACCATTCTGATCCTGGGCCTTGGAATTAACTTGTATTATTTACCACCATGTGTTTCTGGTGGGAGCCCAAACTGGTCTGGGTGCTACCTAAGCTTCCTCCTGCATCTGATGGTTGAGGTGTTTATGTTGGGGTGAGCCCGAGGTTACTCACACCTAGGAACCTCTTAGCCCCCCCCAACCATCATTAGTAGCCATGTAACCATTTTTAATTATATAAAAACATACTACTTTTGGAATTCTGGCTTTTATCAGTGCTAGAGTACCAACTATTTTTATATTTTTTAGGGTTGAGTTTTATCAGGTTGATACAATGTTCCCACCTTTACTCCACACTTGGAAAATTGCTCATGAATTTCCAGCATTAATAAATGCATTCCCCATTGCATTCTTTTTATCTGTTGATTTTTAGAAACATAAAACCTGTACCTTAACTGGGCTATATTTCCTGTTGGGGGCCTAACAAAATAATTTGTGTCTCTGATAAATTGTCAGTTTTGACTTGTTAAAAATATTTTGCTTGCCAGGCATGGTAGCACATGCCTGTAATCCCCAGCATTCGGCAGGCTGAGGCAGGAAGATCGCAGGTTTGAGGCCAGCCTGGACTCCATTTGAGTTCAACGTCAGCCCAAGCTACACAGCGAGACCCTGTCTAAAAAATATATAATAATAATTTTTTAAAAACCAAAAAATATTATGCTTAGTTGATTGAGCAAATCAAGGTTATAAGCAGAGTGGAATAAAAGATGCTTTGCTGAAATTGAAATGCCTTTACCTAATTCCCAAAACCAAATGTTCTTGCTCTCCTTAAAAGTTATCCCCTTCAGAATCTGTTCTTATAATAATATATCCTTGGGACTTGAATCAAATGTCTTCTTCTGGGTCATGATGACACTTCCTCCTAATCCCTGCCCCTACCCCATCTCCTTCCTGCCTTTAACATTTTGTGTGCACTTATCTTGTGTGTGTAGTGGCTTGTTTACACCTTTCTCAGCAATGTACCCCAAGCTCACCTGTCCTCAGTGGCTGTTACATTAGAACAGCCAGACAGTTTGAGAAGGGAATACCGTAGGACTTCTTAGCTTTAAAGAATCAGGTGATAGAATGCAGGTTTAGTGTTCCTATGAGAATCAACTGGCCAGCTAAGGGAGCCCTTAGATAACATAAATACCAGTCCCCATCTTAGCAGAGTGCTAGCCCATCACTGCCTACACCAGTTAAACTTGTCCTTTTCCCTTTCTTTTTCCTAGAAGTTTCAAGCACCTGCAAGAGAGACCTGTGTTGAATGTCAGAAGACAGTCTACCCCATGGAGCGTCTCCTGGCCAACCAACAAGTGTTTCACATCAGCTGCTTCCGTTGCTCCTATTGCAACAACAAACTTAGGTAAACCAGACCAAGACATGCCATCTCTCTGTACACTTGGAGCTCTAAAGAAAAAGCAGTTGTGCTAATGATATTGCCTTGGAAGCGCCTGAAATAGTAGAAAACACTATTTAGTGACAGGTCTTTCATGTCAAATGATAGTGGTGTTTGGGACATCTTGATACATTGATAAGTTTGTTTGCCTGTTAGGATTGAAGTTTAAATAATATGGTTTGCAGACAAAGCCCCCTGTGACCTAATTTAGTAGATGATGTTTCCTTTGGTATCATAGAATCATAAAGTTAAGAAACCCCAAGAGGTTACTTGCCTAAACCCTTACTTCAGTGCCCTAAGCACTGAATAAATGGTGATAATAGCAATAATTATAGCCCTTGGAAAGCATGTATTCTCTATGTTCCTTTGTTTTATTTATTTCTGAGAAAATAATTATTATGTGCCATTATGAGTAACTCACAGAAAAGATATAAATGTGACAAACTGGAGAAATGCTCCATGTTAATTCATTCTAATCTGTTGTAAGCCTTACTTCAGTCAACTCCTTAGAGAAGGCAATAACCACGATATCTCTTTGTCCAGCTTTCCTTCCAGGATGAATGTATTCCTTCTAATACATTCAAAAGATGTCCTATGGGCCGGGTATTTAGCTCAGTGGTTCCACCACCTGCCTCGCAAGCACAAGGTCCCAAGTTTGATCCCTGGTACCAAAAAAAAAGAAAAAGATGTCCTAGTACCTGCAGGACATTTATGGGGGGAGATACCTCACCATTGCTAGTGCCAGTGCAGATACCTCTAACTAGACAACTTTCTCTTAGATTGAGCCAAAATCTGCCTCTGTGACTTCCAATCAATTGTTTTTCTGCCTGTGGGATTCATTTTTACTCTGGAGCACATTATTTGTTTTCAGGAAATGCTTTCATTATTACAACCCTTTAAAATATATTGCCCTGTGTCTTAGTCACTTTCTTAGTCGCTGGGACACAATGCTCAACACCCACAATTTGAGGAAGGAGAGGTTTATTTTGACTCACATTTCAATCCATAGTGGGTGGCTCCAAGGCAAGACAGCATAGTAGAGAGGGTCATGGTAGAGGAGAGCTGCTCACAGCATGGCTGACAGGAAGCAGAGAGTCAAAGGAGGACCTGGAAAGGAAGGTATACTCTTTAGGGTCATACCCGCAGTGACACACCTCTTCCAACCAGACCTCACCTTCTAACTGCAAGTCAGCTTATACTCCCCCTATAATCTAATCACCTTTCCAAAGCCCTGCCTATAAGGCCATGAGGATTTTGGAGGAACATTAACACATCCTCTGAGAGACTAAATATAAAGATTTGTCCAGCACTGACATTGAGTAAGACCTACCTTCTGGCTACTGCTCACTGTTATCCTATTGACCATAGCTTACTTTGTGCATACAAACACACGTTTGTATGCATGCATGCTGAGGATCAAATATAGAGCCTTTTACATGCTAGGTGAGCACCCTACCTCTGAGCTTTATTCCTGGCCCCATAGCTTACATTTATTCAGTCAGTAGTAGCTATTGAGTGCCAACTGTTTTCAGAACATTATATCCATTATTGTAGAGTTATGCTTTTAAGTTATGGCACAAATGGAAAAGTAGGAAGACAGAGATTCAATTTTTTAGTGCAGGAACATCATTATAAGTAGAATTACTGAGGAAATGTAAAAATGATAAGAACTAAGTATGATTTCCCAGGAAAGACTTCCTGAAAAAAAAGTGATTTAAAAAATTTTGACAGAGGAGAGTGAAGTTATTTGAAAATGGGGAGCCCATACCAGGTAGGAGAAGGACTTGTGAAAATTTAGTCTTGGACACAAGCATGTTTCATGTAAGGATTAAAAAATAATAATAAAGCCAGGGATTTAGCTCAGTGGTTCTGCCACCTGCCTCGCAAGCACAAGGTCCCACATTCAATCCCTGGTATCAAAAAAGTAATAATAATGTGTGTGTGTGTGTGTGTGTGTGTGTGTTTAAAAGGGGGTAGAGAATCCTAGTTCATGCTGTGCTTTTAAAGATATTTTTCTCACTTAGCGTCTTCTGAAAATACTGGAAATGCCAGATGTTAGCCTGCTGATATAAATAATATTAAGATTTGCTTAACTTTGTTCTTTTTCTTTTGATGACAGTCTAGGAACATATGCATCTTTACATGGGAGAATCTATTGTAAGCCTCACTTCAATCAACTCTTTAAATCTAAAGGCAACTATGATGAAGGCTTTGGGCACAGACCACACAAGGATCTGTGGGCAAGCAAAAATGAAAATGAGGAGACCTTGGAGAAACCAGCCCAAATTCCAAATGCAGGGGAGACGCCCCAGAGCCCAGGGGTGGAAGATGCACCCATTGCCAAGGTGGGTGTGCTGGCTGCAAATATGGAAGCCAAGGCCTCCTCTCAGCCAGAAAAGGAAGACAAGCCAGCTGAAACCAAGAAGCTAAAGATCGCCTGGCCTCCCCCAACTGAATTTAGCAGTTCAGGAAGTACCTTGGAGGAAGGAATCAAAGTATCTAAACCCAAATGGCCTCCTGAGGATGAAGTCAGCAAGCCAGAAGCTCCTGAGGATGTAGATCTGGATCTGAAAAAGCTGAGACGATCTTCTTCACTGAAGGAAAGAAGCCGCCCGTTCACTGTTGCAGCTTCTTTTCGAACCTCTTCTGTCAAGAGCCCAAAAAATTTGTCCCCACCTATCAGGAAAGGTTGGAGCATGTCAGACCAGAATGAGGAGTTTGCAGAAGGGATAGTAGCAGAAAGGAAACAAGTGGAAAATGCCAAGGTTCCTGCGAAGAATGGGAGCATGGAGAAAATGACCTGGCAAAATAAGGTGCCTAAAAGAGGAGAGGCAGGGCGAAGAAGTAAGGAAATTCATAGCTTTGAGATGGGGAGTGAGAATCTCGTAGAAAATGGTGCAAACCTAGATGATGATTATAGCAACCTCCTCAAAGAGCAGTCTCCAGTAGAACCCAAGTCTCCAAATTGGTCCAACTTTGCAGATAACACCTCCACTAAAGAATACACTACTCAGAATCAGAAGTCCCAGGATATGGGATTCTGGGAGGGAGAAGAAGTCAAAGAGCTGTCTGTAGAAGAACAGATAAAGAGAAATAGGTACTATGATGAGGATGAGGATGAAGAATGACAAACTGCAAGAGTGCTGGGCCTTAAATTCATCTTAGTGTTAGTGAGCCACTGCCCTTTGTCAAAGTGATGCAAGAAACAGCAATCCTAACATGAGCTGTCATTTTTGTGGCAGCAACTTTGGAAATGAATTTGGGCTACCACAAACAAACAAACAAAACCATATGCAGTAAACTGGTTCTAAGTGCAAAAGATAACATTACTTAAATTTTCCATTTTATCCATGATGATATACATAGGTGCTTATAAGTAGGGAGATATTCCAACTGATATAATCCAGATTCTACTGTATTCCCAAAAGATAATATTAAAGTGGATAGATGATTAGTAGTACATTTTTACATTGTGGAAATAAGAGAACATACAGAAGGGATTTAAGGGTCCAAACATTATGACTGAATGCACTTTAGTATAAAGGGCACAGTTTGTATATTTTTAAATGAATACCAATTTAATTTTTTAGTATTCAACTGTTAGATCAAGTATTTAGTCTTCTAAGATTTTTTAGGTTAATTTTCTTACTATGGTTATATAGGGAATTTATCGCTTTGCATATTACTCTTTACATCTTGAGTTACTGAGGTATAATATAGCCACCTTTTCATAGCCCCTTTTGAGACAATTGAAGAAACAACCTACAAGCTTTGGTGCTTGGGGAGATCCACTGTCTCCCAAATATGCTATGGTATTTGCCAATGAGTTTGACAACACCCCAAGTGATTGCTTTCTTTTTTGTGGTATCTGTGCTTTTCACAATTTATTGAAGGTTGCAATATTTTTGTAATACCTTTGGATCTTTATTCACCATGCTCTATGTTAGAGCATAGTGAGTTCAAAGGAAGAATAACGGAAAGAACTGCCTTCACCCACTTAAGCTCAGATCTCCAAACCTTATTTCACTTCTGATATCCCCTTTTTGAGACACTAATTTTTAAATACTTGTCAGCTCTGAAGTGTATTGATTTTTATGGCAGACTGTATTCCCGGAGGGAAATCAAACCAGCAATAGGCCTTTTTATTGGGATGGTTTTCTTTAGTATTAAGGCTGGGAACATATGAGCTTGAGTACATTTGCTGTACATAATTGATATTCCAAATTGTATGTAGGGGAAGAAGAGGTGTGTACTGCATTTATAGAGATTTAGCTTTGATATTTTTTAGAGATGTAAAATATTGTTTTCTTACTGTCTTGCTTAGTCTGGGACATTTTTATTCAATAAAGCTTTTAATTTACATTTTAACTTGTTGGTGCTCCTTTTCTATTTGCACATCTGTAGAAACTGTCCTGATCTGCTTTACTTTAGCAGTTTGGTAAGAAAAGTCAGAGTCTGTGCTTTAGGGGGGAAAAAAAAGTACTATAAACATATCCTACCACTAGGTGGTGATGTTGGGCTGAACCTGGACTTTGCATTCTCCCTGAAGAAAAAAATTTTTTTGGAAAATTGCAAGCAGCTTGGCAAGAGCATTAGTGTGTGCATTGAAAATGAGCTGTTTGTTTTAACAATTCAAAATCCAGTGGTGATTTTTATTACTATATTCAACATTTAATAATTCACCTTACAATTATGCCTAACATGCTAAATAGAATTTCCAAATCCCTCTGCTGAAAATAGATGGATAAGTTTTCCATTTTGGGCAGAAGCATTTTTGGTTGGTTGCTTCCTTTTGTAGAAGCAACTGCCCCAATTTTAAATCTTTGCTTTAAGAGTAGGGTGGAAATGTAATTTCCCTGGACATAGGTATACTTTTTGAGTCTCTCTTAAATTTTCCAGTGTCAAATGTATGTTCCTGGGTCTTCTCTGTGTAGTACTACTGCTCTTATCTCCACCCCAAGCTGAAGTCATTTACAAATCCCTGTTCACTGAACGATTAACCCAGGAGCCCTATAACATAAAATACCCAATCTTGGCTTGAGTTTAGCAACCCTTGGTATATGACTATTGGCTTTTGTAACTTGTCCTCATGGTACATAACATAGGTACTGACTTTATACAAAAAAGTCTGAATCCCAGTGGTTCAGTTGAGTATGTCAACATACCTCAAATACTTAGGGACTGAGATTATTCTTTTTGGGGTGGGGGGTATCAGGTATCAAACTCAGGACCTTGCACTTACAAAGCAGGCGGTGAAACCACTGAGCTAAATCCCCGGCCTGGAACTGAGATTATTCTTTGATGAACCCTTTGCTATACTTTTCAAGGACTGGAATAAACATTACTGTAAAGGTACAGAGAGTAGAAAAAAAGGGTAGCTCCATGTTCAATATAATAATAGGATTTCCTTGTCAGGAGGATTACCAGATAACACAAACATTCTTAGGAAACAAAACCTACACCCAAACAAAATAGTACTAATCATTAGTCCCTTTCAGCTCTTGAATGAAGGTGACCTTGTTTGGACTTGGTATGTCAGTAGTGACAATAGGATGAAGTGAGTTTTTCTGTTGGACAAGCAGGAAAAGGAGCTGGTTTGGGACCTGAGATGGTTAAGGAGACCCTACTCATGACAACAGGGTTCTAGCAGCTTATTGGTTATACTGCACTTAGCCAAAGTGAAAGATACATCAAGGTTTGGTTTTTTTTTTGTCGTCACATATTTAATCAACAATATGTTTTCTCTTTTTTTTGGTACCGGGAATTGAACTCAGTCCTTGTGCTTTTGAGACAGGCGGCATAACCCCTTAGCTGAATCCCCCGCCCAACAGTATGTTTTCTAACAGTGAAAAGGGTGAGACATAGTAAAGCACTTTGGGGGAAAAAGAATTTTGAATAGGGTCTCAGACCAAGATCATTGTCCACTGGTTCCTGCATGCCGAGTTAGCATGTTCCATGTTCCTAGGGGTTCTGGTTTAAATTCCAGTATACCTCTTTTTAAAATTCATCTCCGGGCCGGGGATTTAGGTCAGTGGTTCTGCCGCCTGCTTCACAAGCACAAGGACCTGAATTCGATCCCCGGTACCAAAAAATAAATAAATAAAATAAAATTCATATCCAATATAAGGTAGTTATCATTGAACTATTACTCGGTTTAGGTGAAAATGGCTTCAGGTAGTGGTTCTCAGACCAGTAGCAGTGGCATCACCTATGAATTTGTTAGAAATGAGAGATGCAGGGCTCAGCCATAGAGTGCTTGCTTTGAATGCAGGAGGCTCTGGGTTCAATGCTCAGACCAGCACCCCTACTCCACCCCACCCCCAAAAAAAGAGGGAAGAAAGGAAGGAAGGAAATGAAAATTCATAGGCTCTACTTTCACCTCCTGAAATTAGAATCTCTCTGCCTGGACCCAGAAAATGTAGTTTCCCCTACACCTACCAAGGGCCCAAGGCCTTCCAGCAGCACTTCGCTGAATGGCGCCACGCTCATGGGATGAGATGTTTGGACATCCCAAACACGGCTCACTTTGCTAACTTGACACAGATTGAAGATGCTGTCTCCTTGTGGGCCAAACTGAAACTGCAGAAGGCTTCAGAACGATGGCAGCCTGACACTGAGGAAGAGTATGAAGACTCCAGTGGGAATGTTGTAAATAAGAAAACATATGAGGATCTGAAAAGACAAGGACTGCTATAGTGTTCAGGGATGTAGCTTAATTTCTGGCTTCCCTGAGGTCTGCTTTTTCTATTTCTCCCAACCAAATGCTCTTAAAGACACCGCTACATAGTCTCATAGTCTGGCATGCATCCTGTAGAAACAAGGCATGCTGGCAGATTGCAGAGTTGAAATGTGTTTTATCTTTGTTTTATATTAAAAAATTCTGTGGGGAAAAAAAAAAAGAAAATGTAGTTTCCCTTCATGTGGGCTTCATAAAGCTAATATGTGAGCTGATAAGTGTTAGTTTAAGAAGCACTGAACTTAAAGTAAATCTTTAGCCTACTCCTTGGGATGTGGGGCCCCCTCCTCAACTTTTAATTCTGGTATAAGAATGCCTTCCTAGTTATAACTTATTTTATCTGTCCTCAGATGGTAGGTAAATGTTTAGTTACTTCCACCCCCCACCCCCACCCCCCATTCTACTTTAACCTCTGACAACTTTGTATCATTTTAACAGTTCAGGGTTCTCGCACTTAAGGGAAAATTGTTCAGTCTTTTGAAGGTATCTGGTCTCTGGTTTCCCTCTTTGTTCATACAGATTCATACAGACTTCATTGTTCAGTGTGGGAACCAAAAGTCAAGGCAGTTTATAGGATAAGGGCTCAGAGTTCTGGAATCTAAAGACTTTGTAGATAGCACCTCTTATCTATATAGCTTTGGGCAAGCTGTTTGGCCTCTCTGGATTTAAATTTATTCCCCCATAAAATAGTGGAAGAGTATCTTCATAGGGTGAAGGAGTGAAATAACCTGTGTAAAATGTTCGGTGCAGTACCTGGCACAAAGCAAACTTCACTAAATATTAGCCAACCTTTTTTTTTTTATTGTACTGGGGATTAAACTCAGGGCCTCCCACGTGCTAAGCACGAGCTCTAACATTGAGTTACACCCCCAGCCTATTTTGCTCTTTGTCTTTATATTTTCCTTTAGGTGTCTCCCTTTCCATGTTGCTTTTCATTTTTCATTTCCATCTCCTTATGAGAAGAATAAAAGGACTTTTTTTTTTTGGTACCGGGGATTGAACTCAGGACCTTGTGCTTGTGAGGCAGGCGGCGGCACCACTGAGCTAAATTCCTGGCTAAAAGGACTTCCTAAAGTCTATTTTTTCTGAGGAAAAGTGATAATAACTTTTAAGGGATAAAGAGGAGAAACAGGGTGGGAACCATGGAGGGGCAAGGAGGAAGGAAGAGATTGAAATAAAAAGAATGCTAGTGGTGGAGTATAGTGGGCGGCACTAGCAGAGATGCAAGAGAGGCCCAGGCTGGAGGGAAGCTGGGACTGGAGACTTAGGTACGGCCTCGCTGGGAGCATGCACCAAAGCGGAATGTGACCGTAAGGGAGGCTAGGCTCAGGATTGTATCCAAAAAGGGCGGGGGCAGAGTTAAGGGGTCTGTGGTGGGTGGAGCCAGGTCTGCGAGGAGGCGGGGTGGAACGGGGGCGTGGCCTGGAAGGAGGGCAGGGCCCCACCGAGAAGCCGCCCAGCCCGCTGTGGCGAGGGTGATAGGGGGGCGAGGCGAGGCGAGGTGGGCAGTGAAGAGGCGCGGCCTTGCGGAGGAGGCGGGCTGGGTGGTGCGGCAGACGAGAAGGGGCCGGAAGGGGGTGGCCGCCAATCGGGCCCCGCCTCGGGGCCGCCTTCCCGCGGGTTCCGTTGGCTGTGGCGGCAGCTGAGGCTGTGGCGGCGGTGGCCGCGGGGCGGGCGTAAGATGGCGGCTGCGGCTGCAGGAGCCCTAGGCCTGTTGTGGGGCTGGCTATGGAGCGAGAGCTTCTGGCTGCCTCAGAACGTGAGCTGGGACGACCTGGAGGCCCCCAGCGACGGCCACGGCTACGGCTACCCCCGCGCGAGGCACATCCTCTCGGTGTTCCCGCTGGCCGCAGGCATCTTCTCTGTGAGGCTACTCTTCGAGCGGTGAGAGTCCGCGGCGCAGAGAGCAGGGGGCGGCTCGGGGGCGCCGGCCCGGGAAGCCGCGCGCGGCGAGAGGCCCACGGCAAGAAGCAGAACTGAGGGGAAAGCCCGGAAGTCAGGGCCGGGGGAGCCAGGCCGCGGCGAGATGTTCGGAGGGTGGTCGTGCAGACTGGGAGTTTGGGACGTACTGAGTGAGCGAGGGACGACCAGAATGCTTCCAGTTTAGTTCCAGAGGTGGCCTGGGCTTCTATAGGTCTGCCGCCTTCCAACCTCCAAGACCCTACAGATCAGGAAACAAGTTGAGTGTGAGCTCGGGCAGAGACCCTGACGCGAGGAACAGAAAGGGACCGGAAAGAAGAGTCAGAGCTTATTGGAAGCTGAGGGCAAACGCAAGCACCAGAAGTTCGGAGCAAAAGGAATGAGTTCGTGAGAACCTTAAATTTGTGAGGGCATTTTAGCTTCTGAGAGTGAAGGGGTTGAGGCAAACAGGATTAGTTAAACCTCGAGCCCTGATTTGTCAGCTCATATACTTTTTTGTTGTTAGTATGACAGAAAAAAATCTACTGTAGTTGTTATAGGGTGTGGTGGAGCCTGAGGCTTCCAAAGAATGGGAAGTGCAGATGAAGTGCAGAACAGGCCTTGGAAGTCTGAGATGGAAGGAGGAGTGGTCATCTTGAAGAGATGGGATCCCTAGGGATTATTAGAGGACAGCTGGGTTGAACCAACTTGTGAGGTTAGAAAAATCGAAACA